CCTAAACCCTAAACCCTCATAAACCCTAAACCCTAAACCCTAGAAACGGTACACACTGCAGCCAGACACCGAACCGCCGATGCACGAGTAAACCCTAAACCCTAAACCCTCATAAACCCTAAACCCTAAACCCTCATAAACCCTAAACCCTAAACCCTCATAAACCCTAAACCCTAAACCGTAAATCCTAGAAACGGTACACACTGCAGCCAGACACCAAACCCCCGATGCAAGAGTAAACCCTAAACCCTAAACCCTAAACCCTAGACACACAAAAACGCAGACAGAAAGAGTTGCTGTAAACCCTAAACCCTAAACCCTCAATTGTACAGACACCAAACCCCTGACAAAAAGATAAACCCTAAACCCTAATAAAATAAAACAAAACAAAATAAAACAAAACAAAATAAAACAAAATAAAATAAAACAAAACAAAACAAAATAAAACAAAAACAAAATAAATAAATAAAAAACAAATATATTTATATTTATTTTTTTTTAGGGAGTTAGTTTACGTTTCCCTCGTTTTCTGCGGCTACGCGAAGACAAAACCCCAGAAACAGCAACCACTGCAGCAGAGCTCTTCTCTATCTATTCTAATCAGTTTAAGTCACCAGCAGCAACCAGCAGCAGCAGCAGCAGCAGCAGCAGCAGCAGCAGCAGCAGCAATGCGGATAGCTGCAGCAGCAATACGGATGCCAGCAGCAGCAGCAGCAGCAGCAGCAGCAGCAATATGGATAGCAGCAGCAGCAGCAGCAATATGGATGGCAGCAGCAGCAGCAGCAGCAATACGGATGGCAGCAGCAGCAGCGTGGATAGCAGCAGCAGCAGCAGCAACATGGATAGCAGCAGCAGCAGCAGCAGCAGCAGCAGTAACAGCGGCACTACCGACAGTAGCAGCGGCGATACGGATAACAGCAGCAGCAGCAGCAGCAGCAGCGAGGACAGCAGCAGCAGCAGCAGCAGCAATAAGGACAGCAGCAGCAGCAGCAGCTGTGTTGTGGACGAGAAAGTGGAGGTACCCAGCAGCAGCAGCAGCGGCAGCAGCAGCAGCAGCAGCAGCAATAAGGACAGCAGCAGCAGCACAGCTCAAACCGAGAACGAAGAAAAAGAAAAAGAAAAGCAGCAACCAGCAGCAGACAGCATGGCCACTGATTAAGAACTCTGCCGCTCGTGCTGCAGCAGCAGCAGCA